ACCGAGACACGGCCGTGTCTCGGTGCGGGCTCGGTGCGGACTCGGTGCGGTCATGTGTGCCCAGACCTAAAACGGGTGCGCGAGGGGTTGACGGAATCGGAATTAAAATGTTGTTACTACTGTTACCCGCTCTGTCTAAGCACGTTACATTTATAGTTAATTTTTGTCTCAAGAATGGCTGTTTTCCTTCTGTTTGGAAAAGCGCAAATGTAACACCTGTCCCAAAAAAACCTTCACCATCCTCAGCGGCGGACTTTCGACCAATCAGTATCTTACCTACTCTCTCTAAAGTGGTTGAAAAAATTGTGGCCCGACAGTTGACAATTTATTTGGAAGAGCAAAACATTTTGCCCTTATCTCAGTCTGGTTTTCGACAGGCACACAGCACGACCACTGCCCTGCTGAAGGTGACGGATGATATTATTCGAGCCACGGACAAGAGGCTTAATACATGCCTTCTCCTCCTGGATTACAGCAAGGCGTTTGATACGTTGGACCATGGGGTACTTTGCACCAAGTTTGAATTTTTTGGAATTGAGAATGTGGAACTCAGGTTCTTTAAGGAATTTTTAAGTTTTAGATCGCAGCGAACTATCTGGAATAACAATTTTTCGGAATCTCGTGCTTGTGATAAAGGAGTTCCACAAGGAAGCATTCTGGGCCCTATTTTATATGCAGCGTATACAGCCGATTTCCCAAAAATGCTTAAAAACTGCGAGTCACATCAGTACGCTGACGATAATCAACTGTATTTTACTTTCTCACTTGAAGATATTCCAGATGCGGTGCAGAAAATCAATGAGGATCTAAATATTATATCCACAGCTTCATCCGCCCATGGTTTGACGCTTAATGAAACCAAAACGGAACTTATGGTCTTTGGCCCAAAGCGCCTTGGGGTGGTCCGGGATGAGAGATTTACAATCGTGTTAAATGGTCAGACTCTGGAAGCCTCTGATTTTGCTAAAAACTTGGGGGTATGGATGGATGCCAAACTTAATTTTAACAAGCATATTAGCTATCTAATGCAAAAATCATATAGTAAACTCAAAGCACTTCGATTGTATCAAAAGGTTTTAAGTAAGGATGTTAAATTGAAGCTGTGTGATAGTTTAATTCTTTCTTTGATATCCTATTGTAACATTCTTTATTGGCCCGTCATTTTGAACAAGGACAAGGAGAGCCTCCAAAGACTCCAAAATGCTTGCATTCGATTTGCTTACAACCTTAGGAAGTTTGACCATGTTTCGTCAAGTTTCGCTGACGCTAAGTGGCTGAAGCTGAATCAGCGCTACATTGTCTCTCTGGCAACATTCATGTTTAGATTAAACAAACGCAAAAAACCAACTTACCTTTCTTCCAAGCTCACTCGATGCAGTGATGTTCATTTTAGAAGTACTAGGCATCGCAGTCTCTATTGTGTGCCAAATCATCAAACAGCACTCTTTAGAAAATCATTTAGTTTTACAGCTGTGAAACTTCACAATAAACTCCCTGAACGTATTAAATCTTTAGTTAGTGATTTGTCGTTTAAAAGGGAGATAAAAAGACTTGTTTCAAATAATCAGCTTAGAGTTTCCATTTAAAAATATTCAAATAAGTGTGTAGGTGTCCTTCTGACTCTTATTTTTTGGTCTTTTATTTTTTACTTTTTATTTTTTTTTTTTGTTTAATTTTTTTGTTTTATTTTTCTTTTGTTTCCTTATTTTATTTATTTTTAGTTTCCGTACAACAAATTAATTTTTTTTCTTGTAATGGTTAGTAAAATTATCTATATATTTACTTGGTTACCTATATAATTTAGTTTTGCTTGTTGTCACTTAGCATGGTTGTTGTTATTATTTATATTATATTATTAGATGCTCAAGGTGGTTATATGGAAGAGCGCTACTAAGCGAATATCGCCACCTGGTATTACTATATTCTCTTGTAATGAAACATTGTGTACACCTAAATAAAGACATTTTCAATTCAATTCAATTCAAATAGAATCCGTCACTGCCACCAATTAGTTTGTCAAAGTTATTTTCGAAAGTAATACAACGAACAAACACAGCTAATAATTTTGACTATATTAACCTTTTTCCAACTCGAAAAGAAGCAAATAGAAAACGGGTACCCAATTCAAGTTCAGAATGTATTACAACAGACAGCACATGCAACAAAAGTGAGTCTCGCAACAATTGCAAGTATTAAAATTGCCCTCTGATTGGTCAATACTACTTCAGAAACGCGTTTGTAAAATGCTAGTGGGAACATATATTAAAATTCAATAGTAATTAACCACCAGTAGCTTTTTGTAGGTGATATCAACGACATAATCAATGGACATACGTTTTTTGCCACCAGTATCACGTGACTTTAAAATGGTATTTGTCGGACTACACTTCTGCCCAATCCTGTTCTCTCAAGTTATGCAAGAAATCACTTTTGTTTTTGTCTGTAAGAAGGCGTTTATACTGAATATGATTTTGTTTCTTGTAAGTCATCTCAAAAGTGATTTCCTGGGCAGTACAGTCAGAAATAAAACTTTCAAGCACCTCCACCCCATTATATTCGATATTTGTAAATATGTTGTCTATACAACTGGACGAATTTGGCAGTATTCACTACTGCACACTCAATCACACCACTTACTGATAACCTGTTTAGTTTGGCCCGTGCCTTACATTTAAGTCCACTTTTACAGTAAATTGCTGTTCCTCCATGTTTTCCTTAATCTCTGCAGACCATTGATACCAAATTAAAGTTATCTATAGCTAGCTTTTTGAGTTGGCCCATTGACTTCCAATATTCAGTGATCCCTGAGCTTTTTTCTTTTATAAAAAATCCGTCTGCTCTGTTGACGAATAATTTATATTACTTTGATATCGCATAAATCTTCACTGGTACAGTCCTTTGTTTGATGCTCTTCTCCGCATTTTTGACAACAATGTTTCTCCCTACACTATTTTGCTACATGTCCAAACCTTGCACAATTAAAGCAAATTGCCAAGTTTATGTGTTCCTGTATGTGTACTACCTACCATTAAATCAACGATAATTTTTTGTTTTTTGAGGAACCATTTGGCTATCTCGGGTGGTGCTGGAAGAATACAATTCTCTTTAAATGGGTTTCTACAGGTGCGTTCGGCTACAATTTTTAGTTTTCCAGCTACTAATTGTCCGAATTCAGTTTCAATTTCATTTTTAGATTAATTATATCATCCAAAAGCTCGTTGTCTGTTAATCCTTTTCTCAGTCCTGTAAACATGAACATTGGGTCTATGTTTTAAGCTTCTTTCACCTTAATGTTGTTTTTATGTTTAAGTGCCATCTTTGGTTTTTCCTGTTGTTCCTTGCTTTGACTTTCAACTACGCCTGTCCCGTATCCTATGTTTTTAAATCCACCTCCCATGGTGTTTGAATTTATATTTTGTTTAACTTGTTGCATTGTTGCGGCTGCGTCCGTGATTTTGTCTATTGAAATCATGTTTTCGATTTTTCTCTGCATTTTTGGTGTATTCCATGAAGTTTCTGATTTTCTTTGTTGATTTTCAGGTCAACTGTTCGGTTTTATAAGTGCACCACTAACTTCTGCAAACGTTTTATAATGTGTGGTATTTTTTTGGCTGTCATGGTTTAAATGGGTCAGACGAGTTTCTATCTCTAGTCTGTTGCTTTCGCTTTGCTATACAGTTATGTTCCTGATTTTATTATTAGGTTACATATTATCTTTCTCTGTTTAACCAATTCTGAATGCTAAAGTTGTCTTGACTTGTTTGTGGATGGTAAATAAAGCAGAATTTATTAATTTAGTCTCATTTTGGGGAATAAGTTCAGTGGCTTTGTGTATATTATCAAGAGCAGTGAGAACTTCATCTAATATTTCTTGTGTTGGCTGCATAACAAAATTGTTTACTCCATCTCTCGCTTCATCTGGTCTGGCATCATTGTTAACAGGGTTTTGCTTTTTGACTTTGTTCCTTTATAAGATTCCTGGGCTTGAACTAGCTCTTGGCCTTTTCCGGGTATTTGCTTGAACAAAATGGATTGATTTCTCACTGAACACATAATCTGATTGGTCATTATCAGGGTCGGCATTTGTTATTCTAGGAGTAGTGCGATGTACGAAGTGCCTTGGTTTGAAAATGTGATCTAAACTAAGTTTTGGGTCGTCTGTGCTAAAACTCCCTATTAAAATATCTTCATTTTGTCTGCCATTACCGTCACAGTTTTTTCGTGGCCCCCGTAATTCAAGGTTTGAGGTTTTTGCTTGACTATGCATTCCTCGATGCATTCCTTCCTCAGTTCCGATAATTTTATTTATTTCTACCTTGTTTAGGTTTTTAAGGCCTGTAAAAGCAGGTTGTTCAACTACCTTTTTTTTCGGATCCACATTTTTTTCACCATCACTATTTTAACCCATGTTAGTATCAAATTCAGACATTTCACGTTTAAACTTTAGAAAAAAAATACTACATAAAAAAAAAACGCGGAACGATTTAAAACGCGTCTACACATCGTCATATTCTACTCATAGTTGGACCTTTACAAGTGTAAGGGTTGATATTTTATGTACCTATGTCAGGAAGTTCCTCTGGTAGGTGCAGAAAGCTAACAGATCTCTGCATTTTCAAATCTAAGTTGATTTGATTGGTTGATTTTTACTAAAAGGTAGAGCAGATTAAATGCATTTTCACGAGCAATTTTACATCAACTCCAGCAACTCCGCACTCTCCTGGAAAAATGTTTTAAATAGCCTACATTAGATTTTGCAACATCCTTGGAAGAAATTATTCTTCAAACAGTAGAAGCTTCCTGTTCAAAATAACTATCGGAAACACTAACAAAAATTTTTTCAAGATTTTAACTAGAACTCGATTCTTAAAAAATGGGATATAATTTTGGAACAGGACACTAGATGATCTTCGAACTTCTTATCAAAATGGGTAAATAATATGAGAACAATTAGTTCAAAATAATACATAATAATAATAGAAAATAAAGAAATCACTTACCTGATTCATATTACTGTTTTTATAGAGAAATTCCCTCCACAACACAGGTAATTCATCTGGTCTCTGACTAGGCGGCACAATTTGGTTCAAGGGATAAATATAGTGTATTATTGGTTCTACTAATCCACGTAAAACATATTGTTGAATTGGATTAGTAGCACATCTTTGATGTTTACTTTGATTTACATGTTTTAACATGGCCATTGTATTTCGGTGAGGCATCATATATTCTTGTACATAGCTGACAAGCAGTTTCATATTCGTTTTCATTTTGACTTCTTCTGTGAGGTATTTTTTGAACATATCTAAGCCGAAGACTAATAAGCTGTAAATTTTCCATTAGGTACCTATATAGAATTTTAAAAATATTATCCTCACCGATCTTCCGCCTCACTAAAAGCACGCTTTGGCCCAGAAAATTGTGAAGATTTGAAAGGAATTTTGGGCAGCATTGAGGGAAACAAAAATACTTTGCTATTTAAAATAGTTTCTATTAGGAGTTTAGGAAATGTAACTACATAATTCCAATCTCCTGCCATTTTATTTTGAATTGATTTCAAAAGTTGTTGTTGAACGTGACTACAAAAAAATCAATTTAGGTATATAAAATTCTCTACAAAACTTATCATACTTTTTAGTTCTCACTACCTCAATAGAATTGGTGGCAAATAATTGAGTCCAATTATCCACAAGTTCCAAGGCAGGAATCAAATTAACAGGTCGAAACACAGAAAATGATTTTCCTTCACTGAGAAACTTTAAATTTAACTAAAATTGTATCATCATTAATCTACTATTCAATAAATTTTTTGTTTGCTTTTTACCAGATATTCCTTCAATTTTACACTGTAATTATGAAACTCAGGATGTTCGTAAGTAAGGAAATAGTTTTGCGTCAACATTTGCACATGTTGTCTCATTTGTTGCTCGATTGCGCAAAGCTGATGGTAACTTATATTCACATCAAACATTGGTTTATTTGATTCTTGTAAAACTGACGTTGAAGGCTCCTGACTAGTTTCATCCAAATTTACAACAAATTGTGCCAGAGAATCTAGCACAACTTGATTGGTTTTGGGCTTTTCGTCATCGGCGTCTGATAATTGATCAAAATATTCAAATAATTCGTCCCACAGACCTCTTACTTCTTTTTTGGTTATTTTGACAGCTTTATCTACACGAAAGTCTTCACGATAATCATCTTTATCGATGCGATTAATATCCTCATCAGCTAGAAAATTATATTCAGGATCATGTTCTTCATCGTCCTCTTTAGGTTTAGAATCTTCTTCAAGTGGACAAGCAAACCCCTAAAAATATGTCTTTCATAAATACCTGAATAATATTTGAAAACAAAATGCATACATACTTTTAAAAACTCTGCCCAATCATCATCATCACAATCCAAATTTTCATTATTATCACTGGTATCACACAAGTCTTCAATTGTAATATCTGGAAAAACAAAATCTTTTTCTATGACATCAAGGGGAGTAGAGCTTAAATTTATCTTAGAACGTGTTCTAAGGGCAACATTGGCCTGTTCTTCAGCTTGTCTTTCCTGTGCTGTTTTTGGTAGTGGAATTTTGAACATTCCATCTTCACTATATATGTTAATAGTTTGAGTGGCATGATCTTCTGTTACTATACTTGGTGGAGTTGGAGGTGGCAAGGAACCAATATCTGATTCACTTGCAGCGTCTTTGTCATCTTCGCTCTAAAATACACCATTTTTTTTTTTTTAAATACACAAATGTTTTTTTTAGTGTAGGTACTCACTTCTTTGCCTGGATAATATTCATCTCCAGAATCGTCTTCTTTGAGATCTTCTCCAATTAAAATATGAGTTTCGGAAGGTGGAGGCAGAGGCACCCATGGAATGACTGTTGGAACTGGTATCCCATTTGATGTTAATAATTCTCTGCAAATAATATCATAAAATGTATATTTTTTATTGTAATAATATTGAATATTTCTACCCGTGTCTAAGTCTAATCCTCATTTTATGACTGTATAGCCAGCTACACAATAATAAAACATAATTAAATGAACTTTGTTATCTTGAGAAAAAGATAAATAATAGTTCAATTATTAAATATTTTGAATACCAATCTCTTAGCTGATTCACCAAATACCTACACTAATCATTTGTTGCTAAATACCTGCCACAAAAAAAATAATGCAAATATTTTCAAGTATAATTTTTTTTATCTTTATAGAATGTAGAATGCTACACAATTTTACCACAATAAATTTCGTAAATATACTTTTTGCTTCGGATTAATGGTCCTACATTTATGAGTCATTCATAAATTCTACCAGGTGTCCCCCAATGACGTCCCCATTTAATTTATTTTTCCAGGGTTAATAAGCCTATTTATAGAGTGTTCAGTTTTGGTCGAATATTTCTAGACAGGGAATGACTTGCATACGAGGGGGAATCCACCTACTTAATTTTGTACACCAAAAATTCTAAAGTTCTGAAAAATGCTAATTTTCATGTTATTATTGTCCCAAAAAATTCTGAAAATTCTAAAAAAATCTAAAAAATCCCAACAAATTGGGCAGGCTCTTGAGCATGCACAATAGATAAAAACTCTAAATTATTTCTAAGAAATTTTAGTTCAATTCTAAAAAATACTGATAATTCCGAGGGGTGTGTCACTGTGTCAAAAAATGTACATGTAATTCCAAAACAATACCTATTTATCTGAATTCCAAAGACTGCCAAAGAATTCCTGCGACTGCCGAAAAAATTCATAGAATGCAAAAAATGGGGATGAATTCGACTGACTACAACTGAATGTCAATGACTTCTCAATGAATGCCTGTACTTCCTGTGACTGCAGTATGACTACCCTTACTTCTGATACTATTTTTACTAGAATATACCATGTAATTTCGAAGAACAAAATAATTTCCGTTAAAATTTTTCCTAAATATAAAAAATGGTGGAACAATAGGGTTGAGATGGCGATGCGAGAACGTGATTTTAGTTATAGGACTTATAAAAATAATAAAACAGATGAAAACTTAAATGAATATAAGCAAAAAAGAAATTTTGCAGTTCAAGTGTTTAGAGAAGAGAAACGTAAGTTCTATGAAGAAAAAATATGTCAAAATAAAAATAATCCCACAGAAATGTGGAAAACTTTGGAAACTTTATTACCTTCAAAAAAAACAGTGGCTAAAATTGATGAGGTAGAAATAAATAATACCTTAATTAGTGATAAAGTATAAAGAGGAGTTACCTAATAGACTGAATATTTTTTTTGTTGATAGTATTAAAGATATGCTTCGGGATATAGATAAGTCTGATCTTGGAGATTTTCCATTGGCTCACCATGACGATTTGGTTAATTTTTCAGATTTTAGTATGTTGGATTTTGAAGGGTTGAAAGATATTATTTTTGGAATGGCTAATAAATCAAGTCCGGATGATATCAACATCAATTTACTCAAAAATACTTTTGAGAATATAAAGAATCCACTTTTAAATTTAGTTAATTCTTCGCTAGAAATAGGTCAGGTTCCTGATATGTTAAAAGTTTCCACTATAATCCCGATCCCCAAAAAAATTAAATTAAAATCTGCCAATGAATTGCGTCCAATAAATTTGCTTTGCACTATTGACAAAATTTTGGAAAAAATGGTGTATATGCAACTTGTTGAGTATATAGATCGGAATAAAATACTAAGTGATTTTCAATCAGGATTTCGAGTAAAATTTAGTTGCGAAACTGCTGTGCAGGGTATCTTGGAAGACTGGAGACAAAATATTGACAAAAACTTAGCAACTGGTGCCATTTTTCTTGACTTACGAAGGGCATTTGAAACTGTAAACAGGACAAGGTTAATATTAAAGCTAAAAAGCATTGGTATTAGGGGAGTAGTTTTAAAATGGTTTGTGAGCTACTTGAGTGACCGTAAACAAAGAATAAAAGTCAATGACATATTATCAGAAGATATATCTAATGATTTTGGCGTCCCTCAGGGGAGCGTGCTGGGGCCTTTGCGCTATTTATTATATATATTAATGACATAATTAAAAACGTAAAAAATTGTACCACATATCTTTTTGCTGACGATGCCTTATTCTATTATTCCACAAAAGATCTGGGCCAACTTGAAACATCACTTAATCAAATATTGGATGATGTGTATCAGTGGTGTAATGTTAATGATTTGAAGGTCAATATTTCTAAAACAAAGTACATGATTATTGCAAGGGAATCCATTTACAAACAGCTATTGGCTATGAACTGCAAATTATTGTTGGGCAGCGACACTATTGAAATGGTAACAAAAATTAAATACTTAGGAATTTGGATTGACCATAAACTAGATTTTAAAAGTCATGCATTAGAAATAATTAAAAAAATCGCTTTTAAAGTAAATTATTTATCTCGCTGCTCTCCATACTTGTCTACTTGGACTAAAAAAACTATATTTAATGTATTAATACTTCCACATTTCCATTATTGTTCTAGTATTTTGTTTCTCTTCAGACAAAATGAGCTCTCAAGATTGCAGAAATTGCAAAACAGAAGTATGAGGGTGATACTCAAAAAACCAAGGTTAACACCAATAAAGGATATGTTAAAAGAACTTCAATGGCTGCCAGTGTGGGAGCTTCTTCTGTTTAAAACCCTAACATTCATTCATAAAATAAAAATTGGTCAAGCTCCGCAATATTTGTTAGGCATAATAATTATGTATGCTTCTGAAGTGCATCAATATCATACGCGCCACAGAGAAAATTTTTATATCCGAAGGGTAGATCAGGAAAGGTCGCAAAACTCATTATATTTTAAGGGCATGAGTAGGTATAATGATCTGCCAAATAATGTTAAGTCTATGAAAACAGTGAATTCTTTTAAAAAAGTTCTCAAAGATTATATGTTAGGTGATGTTAACTTATAAGTAGTATGTGTAACTTGTATTGTATCAGTGTACGTTTTTTTTTTTTAATAATTTTTTATCATTGTGTTATTGACTGTAGATTTTAAATTATTATATGAAAATTGTTTTTTAATTAAATTATAAATTAGCTTTAGTAGAATTTCAATTGATAACTGTAACTGTATAACTGTAAATTAGTCTTGACTAAATAAAGGATTTATACATTTCGCTTCAACTTTTAGAAGTCAGTTAATCAATTGTATAGAAAATTCTCGAGAAAAATATACTTACATTTTTTTTTTTAAAACTGTGTTTAAGGAAAATCAGGAAATAACTGAAACGCTAGTACAACTAATATTTATTTTAGAAGTTACATCCATCCACTATCCATAGACCCTTGTACAGGGTGGCCCATTTTCGATGTTTTAATGGGCTATATCAAAAATCTGGGAGCACATTCTCGAGCTCTTTTTTTGGGAAAATAACAATGGCGAAGACAAATCACGGCTAACTTGATGTGTTTAGGAAATACAGGGCACTTTTCAAATTTTGTCCAATTTTAAAAGACTCTCTAATTTCCTCATTATTCAAGATATCCAAAAACGAATAATACTTTCTACACACCGTATATTATTTTTTCATTGAATAGCTCTTTGTGAGCTGATTTCAATGATATGAGGTTTTATACCTTTACCTTCAATAGTTTTGGAGAAAAAAAATAAATTCCGTTATTTCCATAAGAAACAATGAGTTAGAAAAAGATAGTTGAACTATGAATCGGGGATGATAAATAGGCAACACATAATTTATTTAATCTACGTCGGTGTCATTATGACACATTTAGCATTGTCATTTGAATGTCATTAGGTCCTTCATAATAGCACTAGTGCGTTTAAGAATTCATAATAACACCCAAATTTTGAAATGAAAAATATACAAAAAGAAAGTTAGTTGCCAGAAGAACCTTTTCAATAATGCTGTCTCTATATTCGAAGAGACACTTTCGAACTCAGATTCACCAATAATAATATTATTTTCCACCATAAAATTGAATTTATGGCACAAAAATGGACTCCAATATTGAAGCTGCCAAAGTCAAAATTCTAAAAACCAACAAGCAAGTTCTCGACTTGTACGGGCACCTGTCCTGCTAAATTTCAAATTTTAATTTGAAAAGTTTTTGCTATTTCAAGGCAAATCAAATCTATTTGAACCATTGTAGATTAAATTTTGAATGATACACGTTCGATATGAACTGGCGTTCATATCGAACTTGTATCATTAATAACTATAATGACCTCTATCTCTCTCTAGCTCATTGTTTCTTATGGAAAAACCGAGGGGTCAACCACTTCCCGAAATACGTGTACAATTGGCCCGAATTACCTCCGAAATACTTCGAAGTACCTAGAAATATCGTGAAGTACGTCGAAATACCAGGTATTCTCGTCGAAGTACGAGAAATCCCATGGAATTACCGTCGAAGTACCCGAAATACCCTCAAATTACCGTGCGAAGTCCCGCAATACTAAAAAAATTCTCGTTTATAACGATTCTTCTTGTGGTTCACAGTGAAGAATTTTTGCTTAGATTTTTGTATCTTTTGATATGATGGATTATACTCGGACACACAAACAACAATTAAATCAATAGTTGCAGGAATAAGAATAAAACATTAACATAAGATAAAAACAGCTATCGGAATATCAGATATTTTCAACGGAATGAGAAGTGTGACTTCTCCAAAAATCATACAAAAAACAGGCTGTTCCATTCAAAAAACCGCTCATCCATGGTGTAACTCTTTGGTTTTTGGTTCAAATGATTTTTTTAGTATCATTTTTGAGTTCTTCAGAAAAAAATGTTCCAATTGGCTATTTTCAATGTTCTCAAAAATACAGGGAAAGTCAAAAATAATCCCCTGTCAACCCCTGTTCAGTCCTCGTTGGATGACCGATGATCTTGTACTCTTAACAACTAAAGGGTCATTTACATCCACCTAACGTAACTTAACGTACG